GGCCTGGTGTCAGCTGGGCCGGGGAATCTGCCTCTGCCTGGCCCCACAGTGGCAGTGTCCCTCCCCTCCCCCTCCCCCTTTCAGTGGAGGTGTCCACCTGTCCCTGAAAGATGCTAGTATGAAAGGGTAAACTCGCTGGGCAGAGCCACGCCCAGAACCAGCAAGACCCCTGCTGAGGGACCCACACCAGCTGCTGCCTCCTCCGCACCCATCCTAATCACCTGGGCCCCTGGGCCCACCTCACCTTCTCACCCACCTCTGCCCCAACTCCCCCTCCAGCATGGTTAACTATTACGAAGTGCTGGGGGTACAGTCCAGTGCCACCCCGGAGGACATCAAGAAGGCCTACCGGAAGCTGGCCTTGCGCTGGCACCCTGACAAGAACCCTAACAACAAAGAGGAGGCTGAGAAGAAGTTCAAGCAGGTGTCCGAGGCCTACGAGGTCCTGTCCGACTCCAAGAAACGCTCGCTATACGACCGGGCGGGCTGTGACAGCTGCGGGGCCGGCGGTGGGGCCAGCACCCCTTGCAACAGCCCCTTTGACAGCGGCTACACCTTCCGGAACCCCGAGGACATCTTCCGCGAGTTTTTTGGTGGCCTGGATCCTTTCTCCTTTGACTTCTGGGTCGCCCCCTTCAACAGCGACCGTGCCAGCCAGGGCCATGGCCTGAGGGGCGCCTTCTCCAACTGCTTCGGTGAGTTCCCAGCCTTCATGGAGGCCTTCTCCGCTTTCGACAACCTGGGCCGCGGGGGAAGCGCTACCCGCACCACCTTCTCATCCACCTCCTTTGGGAGCTCTGGCTCTGGCAGCTCAGGGTTCAAGTCAGTGATGTCGTCCACCGAGTTGGTTAACGGACACAGGGTCACCACCAAGCGCATCGTGGAGAACGGGCAGGAGCGTGTGGAAGTGCAAGAGGATGGGCAGCTGAAGTCGGTGACCATCAACGGCAAGGAGCAGCTTAAACGAGTGGAGAGCAAGTAACCATGGCCACCCAAGTCCTGCACCCACCGCCTGACCGCCACCGCAGGCTGATGGTTAATAAACGTTCCAAGTGAGTGCATCGAATCAGCTGGCCTGGCTTTGGGGTGGGGGCATCTACGTAGACCTGCGCAGCGCTGGCTCCAGCACAAGTGGATGTGCAGAGGGGCCTGGGCCTCAGGGCTGCAGGCACCGCCTCCCAAATCCCGCTGTTGGGGGCAGGGATGGGAGGATGCAGGGGTGGTTCTGCAGGTGATTTATCATCTCTCATCTGTATCGCGTCAGTTGATAAATGTCATGACCATCGATCCATCTCAATCCAACCTTGTGTTCTACATCTACTATTTTAAAAAAAAATGTTTGTATTAATTTCGGAGAGGAGGGGAGAGGGAGAGAAACATCAATGATGAGAGAGAATCGTTGATCGGCTGCATGCCCCACGCTGGGGATCGAGCCTGCGACCCGGGCATGTGCCCTGACCGGGAATCGAACCATGACCTCCTGGTTCATAGGTCGATGCTCAACCACTGAGCCACGCCGGCCAGGCTCCACACCTACTATTAACGCCAGTGTGGTGACATCATCCTCACCAGGCTTTGGCCCCAACTTCCCGCCCCTCACAGGGATTCTTCACGGTGTTGTGCTAATGCCCACACCGCATCATGTTACCCACCTTGCTTTAAACCTTCAGTGACACCCTTTGCTCTAAGCATAAAGACCTCAGGCCTCATCCTCATCACGAGACCCTGGGGACCTGGCCTGCCCACCTTCTTGGTCTCACTCCCACCAACCCTCATTCTCTGAACTGCACCCATCCTGGCCTTGCTTCTGTCCCTTCCTTGCACCCCATGCCGGGGAGCCTCAGGGCCTGCGCACAGGCTGTCTCCCACGTGAATGTCCACTCAGCTTCAGGCCTCTGCTTAAACATTGCTTCTTCAAGGAGTCCTGCCCTGACACCCCTGTTCTGAATTAGCTCCCCACCTGCCTGCTCTACTTTCTCCCGGCCCCCTCACCTGCTTTTCCATGGCCCTTACGTCTCCATCTGTGTTAGATGTGTGCCTCTCAATCACCCTGAGGAGCTAGGGAGCAGGGCCTGCCCTTGTTTGTCCCTCACTGTGTCCCCAGCCTCTAGAGCAGTGGTTCTCAACCTTCCTAATGCCGCGACCCTTTAATACAGTTCCTCAGGTTGTGGTGACCCCCAATTTCATTGTTACAAATTGAACATAATTAAAGCATAGTGATTAATCACAAAAACAATATGTAATTATATATGTGTTTTCCGATGGTCTTAGGCGGCCCCTGTGAAAGGGTCATTCGACCCCCAAAGGGGTCGCGACCCACAGGTTGAGAACCGCTGCTCTAGAGCCATGCCTTGGCACCAAGGGCAGGGCACATATCTGTTGGGAGAATAAATGTCTCTGGGTGTTGTGGGGGGCGGTGAGTGTAGTAGGATGTGTGCAAGTGTGTGTGATGTGATATGTGGGGGTGGCGATATGTGTGATGTGGTGTGGTGTGTGTGAGTGTGTCGTGTGTGTGATGTGGTATGAGCTGGAGTGTGGTATGTATGAGTGGTGTGTGTGTGATGCGGTACAGGGGTTTGGTGTGTGAAGTGTGTGTGACGTGATGTGTGTGAGTGTGGTGTGTGTCTGTGTGTGTGTGATGTGTGCACGGTGTGTGTATGGGTGCGGCATGTGTGTGGTGAGGTTTGTGTGATGTGGGGGTGGGTATGTGTCAAGTGTGGGTGTGGTGTGTGTGTGTCCATGTGTGTGAGTATTGGGGTGCTGGGGCATGTGTGATGACTCCAGGCAGGGACAAAATAAGGGCCCTACTGTTTGGGAGGAAGTCGGTGCCAGAGCAGGAGATGGGACAGGGAGCTGGGCCTGCTCAGGCCCCAGGGGACAGTTTCAGGGTGGAAGGCTCCTGCTGCCTCTGTGGCACTCGGGGACCCTGAGGGAAGGGCAAGCCCTTCAGAATCAGGGCGGGCTTCTGGGGTGTGACACTCTAGTGTGGGCACTGAGGGGGGTGGTGGGCATCCTTCGAGGCAGTTTGTTTGGCTGGTGGCGGGGGGAACACAGGGTACACGGGGAGA